CCCCCACCCCCTCTGCTTCCTGGATCAGGCGCCCCACTCCCCAGCAGCACTTTACCAATGCCGCAAGTGTGTGGATTTCTTCCTCCTCCGTTGCCAACTGGCTTGTTTGGGTTAGGGATGAACCAGGACAGAGGGAGTAGAAAGCAGCCAATAGAGCCTTGTCGCCCAATGAAGCCTCTTTACTGGACAAGAATTCAACTACATAGTAAAAGGTAACTGAAAGCAAACTCATCTTTGCACCGTGTGTCATTACGAGGCAGACTTTTTAGCCTAAAACTCTTGGGGAAATTGCAATTGAATGCATTTTTAAGCACCGCTCTAAAATTTGTGTAGATTTTTATATCAATATTTAGTGAAACAATTTTCTATTTAGCACTTTCCTCCAAATGTATCCAAGGAGTAGAACAAAGGGTGTGTATGTATCTGTGTGTAGGATTTATGTACCCCTTCTATGAAGTTATTGATGCATTTCTTAAAGGGGCATATTTTTCCTCCCCTACACACTGTGCTACCTGGCTGCAAGACTACTACTCAGGCTTGCATCCAACTGAAAGGATGCTATATGCCCTCTGGAGAACAAGTGAGGGCAGATAATCAGGGATTTGTAGTCAAGTTATTTCCCATGTAGAATCTGTCTTTCCTTTTGAAAAACGTTCGGCGCCAGTCATGACTCCACACCCGGCCAGGACCAAGAGATTTATTAAAAGGGTCTGTTACAGAGGGGATCTGTAACGGGAGAAAAGAAAAAGAGAGAGTAAGGGAGAGAGGCGAGGAGAAAGCTGCAGAGAGGGAGAGAGCGAAGGAGAGAGCGACAGAGTGAGAGAGAAAGGGAGACAGAGAGAGAGAGAGACTTGTGGGGAGAGGGCTGTATTTATCAGCCTGACAGGGGCCGGAAGGGGCCGTGCCATGCTCCTATTGGAGGAGCTGCATGGGAGCAGGGTGGGGCCAATGCCGTGTTATGGTCCTATTGGACGCAAAACAGAGCTGGCTACTGATTGGAGGCTTGCAAGTTTGAAATTTGCAAGCGGGAAGGTTTGAAATTCACGCGAGGTGGGGGGGGGGATTGTGCTCCCAGAAGCCGACTGAGTGCCTTTGTTGTCTGGTATGTCGGCGCCATTTTGGGAGCCGCTCCTCTGGTCGCTTCCTGCACCCTTCAGCTTTCCCTACTTACATTTCCACTTCTGACAAACAGCTTAAAAATGTATACTAAAAAAAAAAAATGTGAATCTAATTCTTAGGCAAATTGACTCCTGAGGATGACTTGTGCAGTCTCTAAAAGACACAGCTTTGCTTTACCGTTCTCTCTTGGAGTCTTTTTCCAGAAACATGCTATATAAAAATGCACACTTCTACAACCCATGTGGGAAATAATTCAACTTTGAGAATTTCATGGCACTCCTATAGATGATGGGCAACATGGTGTGAATTCATAAGCTCATAGTTGGGAATGATGTTTGTAAAATAATACTTTCCACCAAGTACCCCTGTGGCGTATTACTCATCTGTGTATAGTACACAGCCTGTGTATCCTAGTCCCTCCAATGGTGCTGTGGAACTTGACTGGGGACCATGTGGGTGGGTGAAAAAAGACGTGCTTTAAACCACACTGGTCTTCTTTGTTCTAACTTTTCATGATTCCTTGAATTTTTTTTTTGTGATGTGGCATGCATTTAGGAACAGAGTATTTACCAGGCTCATTTTCATTTCTTATATTACTTTTATCTTCACTAGATCATATTGGGGCCAAGAATCTATACATCCTGACTACTTCTAACTTACAATTTATTCTCTGTATAGTTGCCATGTCAACTATGTATGCTAATGAATTATTTTAAACTGTACTCCAAAGTTTTTCCCCACATGCATGGTATGGATTTTTTTTTTTTAAGCAAATGCTTAAAAAATTCATTTACCTTTTTTATGTGGTATTACATGAATCTAGTCAGGGAGAAGCTAAATAACAATGGGTTGATGGCAGGCGGGGGTATAGGGGAGGGAAGCTGCCATCTTGGAAATATATAGTTTTTAAACCTATGAATAACCCACAAGGCTGATAAATAAATTTGAAATTTTTTAATTTTAGCACTATTTTCGACAAGTCCCATAACAGTTATACCAACAAGTTTCCTCAACCCCTGCCACCACCCATTCCATGGAATTATTCTTTTTTTAATAGAGAAAGGGTCTTGCTTTGTTGCCTGGGCTAGAATACAGTGGCAAAATCATAGCTCACTGCAGCCTTGAAGTACTGGGCTCAAGTGATCCGACTACCTCAGCTTCCCAAGTTTCTGGTTTTACAGGCATGCGTCACCTCACCTGGCTCACTTTAAAAAAAATTTTTTTTTTGTAAATATGGAGTCTTGCTGTGTTACCCAGGTTGGTCTGAACTCCTGACCTCAAGCAATTCTCCTGCCTCACCCATCCAAAGCTCTGGGATTACAAGTGTGTACCACCATGCCTACCCCAAATTGGGATTTTGAGATATCAAGCATTTGTTTCCTTTATAGCCCATATTGAGCTAGGTTAGATAACCTAATGTTTTTATTTATTTTTTATTTTTGAGTCAGAGTCTCATTCTGTTACTCAGGCTGCAATGCAGTGGCACACTCACAGCTCCCTGCTGGGCTCAGGTGATCCTTCTGCTTCAGCCTTCCAAGTAGCTGGGACTACAGGCGTACCACCATGCCAGGCCAATTATTATTATTATTTTTAAATTGTAGACATGAGGTTTCGTCAAGTTACCCAGGCTGGTCTTGAACTCCTGAGCTCAGTCAATCTCTTGCCTCTAGCTCCCAAAGTGCTGGGATTACAGGCGTGAGCCATTATGCCCAGCTCTTTAATGTTTTTATATAGTCATTTGATAACTGAAAATTCCTAGAACTTATTTGTAGATGAAGGCTTTATTCTCCATAGATGATATTTTAACTTTCTCACTAAGTTGATAAAACAAATGGTGGTCTTAAAGAAAAAGGATGTTCATATCATTCTTCCTGTTACCTCTCTTTCCCCCATTGCCTTTTTCCTCCCTTTTCCCCCTTCTTCCTTTCTATTTATACTTACCATGATGTAGTTCAGTTTGATGGCTCTTTCACTGTTCTTTTGCTTAATTTTAGAGACCCCAGTGCTGCACTTATTTGGGAAAAAATTGAAGAGCCATCCATAGATTGTCATGAATTTGAGGAATTATTTTCTAAAACAGCTGTAAAGGAGAGAAAGAAGCCTATCTCTGATACCATCTCAAAGACAAAGGCTAAACAAGTGAGTATTTTTGAGCTTTCTGCAGTAGGACAATGTTTCTGGCATAAGAGTGAACATTCATTAGAGAAAACTTCAAAATAGTTTCTGGGATGTATAATCTCTGTGGATCTTATGCAGACAGCAAAGGCTAGAATTCTAGAACATGTGGTTTAATAAGACTAGCTCAAATAGAACAAGAAATAATCATCTCCATCAAGTGATATTGTCCTGACTCTTTTATTTGTAACCTCACAATACATATTTCCAAAATCTCAGCCATTGTTTTTTTTTTTTCTCCAGAATTAATTGCCTAGAAATAAACTTTCACTTGATTTAAATCCACCTGAGTGTTGATGTGGTTGGAAAGAAAGGAAAGAATGGGCAAAGAAAAACAAGCAAGCAAGAAGTCCAATCCTTAGTAACTGATAATGTAGTTGGCATTTTGCTGTATTATGTCTGAAGTGGATGCTGTTAGAATCCAGCTAAATAGTCACATCGTACGTGAAATGTGGAAGAGAATCCTGTATCTGTTTCTAATATCCCCATCTTGTGTTAGATCCTTGGATCTAACCTGTGACACTTAAGTCCGAAAAAAGAAAGACTGGTGCATTTTGAGAAAAAAAAAAATTCCAAATATCATTTTTCTGCTGATATATTCATTGGACTTATCATTGGACAAATGACATTTTTATAAATTTCTCAAGGGTATCTATCATTCAGGAAAGTATAGTAAAGCCCCACAATGATGAACTCCAGCAATTGCTATTGGTACGATCTTTTACCCTGAAGTGGAGTTTGGCTACATTTCTTAACTTTTGCAGGGTGGTGGGAAAGAGTACTTGGAGGCAAAGAAATAAGTGAGCAGCTTTGTCTTGGGAGGCAAGAAGGAAAAATGAGGCCATGTCCTAGTGTTCTCTCCCATGTCCTAGTCTAATCTCTCCAGATGAGTGCCAGCTAATGGAGTGATTCCTTGGATTTTTGCCTCTGACCTGGAAGTCGTAGCCAGGCATGTGACCTAGAGTTGTTCCCATCAATATTTATTTCAGAGCAGACAACTTTCACCAGATGAATACTGCTAAATCCGGCCAGAAAGGGAATGGATTTGAATGGGACAGCTAGTCCCTGGAGAACCAAAGCTGGCTAAGCAGGCAGGCGTCACCCCAGGCATTTCATTAATGTCAGAATAATGCAAACCCATACGTTCTGCAGTTGAATTTTTCAGAACTGCTTACTGTGTTACAGCCGGTTGCTGTTGACCTTAGTTCAATAACTATAGTAGATGAGACAGAACCTGGCACATTGTAGGCACTCAATAAATATTTGTTAAATTAATAGACTAGCCAACTGAGGGAATAGGACTTTATAAATACCAGTGACTATGCCCAGTAGTGTTTCAAAAGCAGAAAATCATACCTGTCATAATAATCAGCAAGGTGAGGGGTTAAGGGAAATGAAGGCAGAACCACATTTTCTCTGGCAGAGATAAGTATTTTAAAAGTCTTTTCCATGGTGTATCTTCACGTGGTACACTGAGGCTGAGTCTTCCCATGGACTGTAACAGAGATGGATAAGCCATCTGGGCAAGGAATATGGGTGGAGAGTTCTGACATTGAGGAGACTTAGGCAGCCACAGTAGCCACGTGACAAATGGGCAGATGTGGCAGGAACTAAATACTCAGAAAACCAAGCCATGCCTTCCCTGCCTTCCAGCGTTCCTTTCTTTCCTTCTTCCTTCCTTCCTTCCTTCCTTCCTTCCTTCCTTCCTTCCTTCCTTCCTTCCTTCCTTCCTTCCTTCCTTCCTTCCTCTCTCTCTCTCTTTCTCTCTCTCTCTCTGTCTCTCTCTCTCTCCCCTTTCTTTCCTTTCTTCCCTCCCTCCCTTTGGTAAGAGAATATGAATAAGAAAGATGTCTCCCAGGATTTCATGCTCTATTTGATGCAGTTTTTAACTTATTGAAATAAGATTTATGTCTAAATCATCAAAACTTCAAATTAAACTAGTCATGAGATGGCCTCTTTGCATGTAAACGGTGCATTTGTGTTGAACATCATCTTAACATAATCTCCTCACTCCATCATGAAGACATTGCATAAACTGTAAGAAAGGACTTTGCCAGTATCATCATTTGTACTTATTGATAGTGATGCTACTGTTGACCTTCAGCTTCAAACAGGGTTTATGGAACAGTCTCCATCATGATTCCTGATAAGCTTACTCAGCAGCTCCTTAGCTTGAGTCTTGATACTGAGCTCTGCATGTCAGATCTGTCTTTTAAAAAATATATATTTTAGAGAAAAATCACCACATAGGGATATATTAATGAAGAAACTTAGTTTTACTTAACTTCATTATATTTGGAAGGAAAATTTATTCCATTTACTGGAAATGTATCTAATTTTGTTTAGGGAAAGTGTATTTTCAGGATGTATGCAAATAATTCTCGTTTTTATGGGAAATGTATGCTTATTGTATGTGTAGACATTTCAGTACCTCATGATTCATTTCCAGCAAAATTAATAGCCTTTAATGCTATGGCATATGTTTATGGACATATTTCAAGCAATTCTTTTTATATACAATGGAAACTAGAAGTTCTGTTTTTCTTTAAATATTTAAAAATAGCCAAATATTTTTTCTGTGATCTGTCTTCTTCTTGAAAGTAAGACTGTGGTGAATGCACTGGTATTTAACGAGGTGCCTGTGCTGTTTTTACTGTCATGGCAGAGACATTTTCACTGTGGTAATAGAAGATTCCTCAGCTGGGCACATTACCGTTTGGCGTAAGGAGAAAGAAGGTTATTTTCTCTGCATGCTCAGACTCATAGTAATGATAAATATCTTTTTCCCCAAGGAACTCAAGATAAAGCATTTTATATTTTTCTCATGGAACATGTATTTAAGGTTGTTCTGTGATGAATTCTTCATTTATCCTTATTTATTTATCACAGAGATGACCTTTATTTTGAAGTATTACCCATAAGGAGATTAGGTGAGAAGGCGTATGGAAGGTGTATGGAAGTTCAGACTGTAGGTTGATATAGTTAATTTTTCATAACCAAATAAATGTGACATTTCTTCATCGGAATTGCATATTAGACTGCTAACTTAAAATGCTGCCCCCCCACCCCCCCATCCCTTAAGGAATAGAAGGGAAATAAAAAAAGCAATCCTACATCATGTCCATGTTTAAGCATCAACACACATAGACACTTGCCCATTTTTGAGGAAGGCTCTAGAGCCAGTAAGCATTTAGTCCCATTTCTTCTCTATTTCCAGAGTAGTCCAGTGATTATTAATGTTGAGAATGACCCTAGGTCACCTCAGGATCTTTGGTGAGCAAATAAAGATTACGTCTAACTGAGTTTATGAGCAAGAAAATGAGGGAATTTACTTTGGAATGATTACAGTAGTAAGAATTTCCTCAAAAAGAAGTTTTGGGTTAATCTTGTGTCAATTGAGGTCATAAGGAATTATATTTTGGTAAATGTAGTAATAGTAATAGTAGTAATTATGACACCAACAACAAATAATAACCTTGGAAGCCACAAATTATATTTGCCAATTTCTTACTATGTACCAGGAATGATTCTTAGTACTTATATCAGCTCATTTAACCCTCATACTCCTGTGAGATAAACACCGTTAGCCTCCGTTCAATGTCTAAGAAACTGAGGTGTAGTGAGCTTCAGTAATATTCGCAAGCTAGTAAAAGGCCGAGCTCAGGTTCAAATTCCAGCCATCTGGCTCCAGAGCCTATGCTTTTCCTGATTAAGTCATAATTATGAGAGTGAAATACTTTATAGGAGTGCAAGTACAGTGTTTTATTTATATGGAGACCAAGATATTTACTTTTAAAAAAGAATTTGAATGACTCTGTTTTTGTATATACCCAATATTTAAATAACTGTAGTAAAATTTATAAAATTATATGTGGGGACACTTTTAAACCCTTTCTCATATTCTAACAGATTTTGACAAATACATAAACTAAGATTCCATCAAACGTGATATTTGCCCAGTTAAATACAATGTTTCTGAGTGATGTGAGCTTTAGACATATAAGCTTCTGGAAGCAGTAAAAATAAGGGCCATTTGCTTGTGTGGCATATAAATATAAATAGTGGTAAATGCAAGCAGCCACAGTGGCTGAACCTCACCAAATGTCAAATGATGACACTTTTTATTCACTTCATGACACAAAAAGAACCATCTTTGTAAAATATGCCTTAAGTTACCTAGAAATAAATCTAAGAACAGAAAAAGACTTTGAAGAGAAAATCATAAACTAGTTGACAAATACTTTTTACAACTCCAAGTAAATAATGAGATCTAATGTGCATCTTTACTGTAACATACAATACTATAGATATACTAATACACTTTAAATGAAACATGCAAACATATATGAACATATGGATATTCAATGTAATTCTAGTTTAATTCCCAAAAGTTTTATTTATTTATTTTTGCTCCTTGACAAAGTGATTCTAAAATGTATTTGGTAATAAAAACTCTATTAAAAGACAAGTTACACTCAAAACACTCTGAAAAGAGGTTGCCTCAAGAAGAATTAAGAATTGTTATAAAGCTAAAATAATAAGACACTGAATAATTGGGACAAAGTTACAGAAACGAATAGATCACAATGAAGACTTCAGACATAGATCTGGTCATTTACAGTAGTTTAATTTATGAGAAGGTTAGCAAAAAAAATTTTTTACTGTGCATAATATCTTCATTTATTTTTATTCATTTTTTTATTTTTTATTTTTATTTTTTTGAGTTGGAGTCTCACTGTCGCCCAGACTGGAGTGCAGTGGCTGCTCCTGGCCACTGCAACCTTGACCCACTGGGCTCCGGCGATCCTTCTGCCTCAGCCTTCCTAGTAGCCAGAATTACAGGAATGTGCTACCATGCCCGGCTGATTTTTTGATTTGTTGTAGAGATGAGGTCTCGCCAAGTTGCCCAGGCGGGTCTCGAACCCATGGGCTCAGGATTTTTTATTTTTTATTGTATAGATGTG